ATTTCAACCATCCAACTTGAATTCTGTTGATAATATCCCCATCAATTTTACCATCACTCTAAACAATAGATCCGAGATATCTAAAATGTGTACTCTTATTAATGACTTGATCGCCCAAAGTCACAATCCCCTCACTGGGTCTATTACTACTAAAATTACACTCCATATATTCCGTTTTAGATCTACTCAAGCGAAAACCTTTAGACTCTAAGGTTGACCTCCTTAATTCAAGTTTACCTTCAACTCCCTCTCTAGTCTTATCAACAAGAAGAATATCATCAGCAAAAAGCATACACCAAGGTACATCCTCTTGCAAATGTCTAGTGAGAACATCCAAGACTAAAGCAAAGGGAAAATTTTTTTAGTAGAACTCCACTTTTGGACCTTTGAAATTTTAATTTTAATTTACGCATTTGGAAATAATTTTAATAAGGTCAAGGTATTCTTATTTAAATTTGATGAAAATCACCTTTATACTATCAAATTTATTTGAAATATTAATATAATAAATATTTAAATAATTAATCATAAATTATAGTAAATTATCATGATACATTTTTTATTAAAATTATGCTTTATTACATGTCATTTCTTCAGATATTTAAACAATTAGACAATAAAATTATTAGATAATACAATTAAATTATTAGACATTATAATATTTTTTTACTATGGTTATAGTTATGAATACATAATAATTTAACTGTATTATCTAATAATTTAAATATGTTGAACAATAACACATCATACGTAATACTTAGGAACTGTCATAAAAATAGCTCCATTTTGATACAAACAATATCAAAATATTCTGATAAATTTTTTTTTATATAATAAATTTCTCCCTTAGCTTGCTGCCTTGCCACAGCTATCTACTACCACTTCAAAAAAAAAATTTACATGCAAAATCTCAGAAAGAAACCGGAGAGATTATTACATGCAAAGGTTCAACATAGAGAACCGTCCGATTTTATCTCTATAAACAGTAAAAACACAATAAAAATAAAATTACTGTTCATCACTGTACTTTTACTATTCGCAGAAACAAAACCGAACAATTATCTATATCCGATCTCCGCACTTAATAATCTCTCAAGAAATTGACTCAAGATATCCTTATCAAAATTTAGATCAAGATGAATCTCAAAGCAAACAGATTTGTTCAATATGAGAAATTTATTTTAAACATCTTTAAACAAATTGAAAGATTTTGAGATCCATCCTACCTAAAAGTTGGTGCCCAAAACTTTTCTCCTAATATCTTACTACTCCAAATTTAGGCTTTGTTTGGGGTCGTAATTTTTTAGTACAAAAAATTTTAGCATTAGAAAGCTGTTTTAAAAAGCAATAAAAACGCTGTCCCAAACAACACCTTAGGCATGTATGAGGCGTTCTATAACTTCCAACTTCCACATCTCCTTGACCTTTTGGCATATGATACTTCGGCTTCGCTTGGGACGGCTTTTTTATTGCTTATTAAAATAAATTTTTAGTATAAAAAATTTATTTGTTGTACTAAAAAGTTGCTTTAAGAAGCAAGTAAGAAAGCCGTCCCAAACAAAGCCTTCACTTACTGTATCAGACGTTAAAGCTTCAAGTGGCATATGATTATGATACATTATTAAACATTCATTGAATATATTTGCCACAAGTGTAGAACAAAGCAGATTCAGGAAATCATGAGCTATTATTACATGCCATAGATGAATTAGCAAGGTGCAAAAACAAGTTTGCCAGCTCTAACCTTCTTTTATCAAATTTATTTTTATTCAAAGCTTCACCTTCTCTTTAAAAAGATGGATATAATATCATCATAGCACTTCAAAAATAATGTTTAGTCACTTTAATGTGAGTAAATTTAATTTACATCAACCATTTTTGTTTCTTTCAAATAAACAAAGACAATTAGTTCCATGTTTAATTAACTTAATGAACAAGACTAAGGCTTCATTTGAGACTACTTTCTTTCTGCCTTTTAAAGTAGCTCTTTAGTATAAAAATTAAAATTTTTGTGCTAAAAAACTACTTTAAGAAGCAGAAAGAAAGCCAGGCTTCATTTGGGACAGATTTTTTGCTACGTTATAAAACAGCTTTTTAGTACAAATATTATTAATTTAAGAAATTTTAGTACTAGAAAATAGGTTTAGAAAGCAGCAAAGAAGCTGTCCCAAACAAAGCCTAAGTTATTCAATCACCCAAACAACAAGTGTATATAACAAAGTACCTCTATAACTCTGAAGGGGTTACAGCAATAAGGTCACTTTCTTCATGCTAACTTCACCACAAGTCCCTACAAATGGGAAACATTTAGTTCAGTAAAATGTAGAAAAATAGGGGGAATCAGATAAATTCTGCTTTTGATGAAAGTTCGCCATAGAATTCTACCATTCAACTTACCAAATAGCTACATGAATTTTTAGAAAGAGAAAATCCTTGAAAGAACAAGGTTTTATCAATCACCAAAAGTAATCTTTACCTTGTCATCGGTGCCTGATCAACCATTTATGTTCAATCAGTCAAGTCATCAGCAGCCTCCCTGCAGCAAAATTGATGTGTGTAAACAGAAATATTCTGGAGATTTATGGAGCTTTCAAGCATTCAAAAGGCCAAGCAATCAATGGTCCAAATACAATAAAGATGAGAGTAAAAAGGAAACAAATGAGTTAATAATGAAAATCCATGCATGGTTTAGTGAAATATAAGAAAAGCTATCTCAACCATAGTATTAATGAAGTTATTAGTACTGACACAATTCATTAAGACTTCGGTTGGGACGGCTTTCTTACTACTTCTTAAAGCAGCTTTTTAGTATAAAAATTTTAAATTTTAAACTAAAAAGCTGTTTTAAGAAGCAATAAAAAAGCCATCCCAAATGAAGCCTAAAAGTGATTAATGGAATCCAAATTCTTTTTACAATAGGTAAAGAAAGGAAAAAGTGTAAAGAAGACAAAGAAGCTTCTTTCCTTGAAGTGTAAGGTGTGTGAAAGTTGATATTCGTGACATGTAAGTCGGTTCTTTTGAATAAAGGGGATACTAGACACTATCTATTGAGTGTCTTCTCAAATCAAACTACTTGACCATACTTTATGGTAAATCAATGAGGAACATTTTGATGTTTACTAAAAAGAAATGCAGAATGACTAAAAGAAGTTTAAGAGCATATCTTACACCCTCCAGGTTATAATATGACTATAAAAATCCGACAGATAATAAATGAAGGGGACCAGGCTATAGATGTAATTAATATCCAATTCTTGGCTGTTGAGATGAGAGACCCAGGGGCACAATACTTGATTCACCTTGTTATGGTTAAGGCATTGTTCCGAATAATTTTCTTATTGTTTTCTACAGCAGCTTTTTAGTATGATTTTTTTTTAAAGCAACGAAAAAGTAGTGATCAAAAGTTGTCTCAAATAAAACCTAAGAGATCAAACCATAACTGAATGCACATAGCAGAATAGAGGTAAAGCAAAGTGAAATAGGCATGTGTTTCACGTGTAAATCACCAAATAAACATAACATCCAGTTTATAGCATTATCCTATGATATAAAAACACAGATACAACGACACGGACATGGGATATGTCAATTATTGAAAATATTAAACACGGATATAAGTTGAACATGGTATTAATTTTTATATCTTAAAAATAATGTATAGAAATTAAATTAGCATAATATTAAAAATAATTGAGAAATAAAAAGTCATTTAACTTGAATTTACATTCAAAATGATTAATATTAAGATGTCGTGAAATAGTCATCGATGTCGTATGTCAGGCATTAAGAGAGGAGAAGATGATGTCGAGAGTTGAGTGTTGATGTTGAGACGGTGTCGCTCCTGGATGTTGAGATGACGTGAGATAAAGATGAGATCTCAAAATGGTGCAAGGTCGTGATTGTGGGTGTAAAAATTATTGGCGTCGAGCATCAATGTCAAGACAACATCAAGCTTTGATGTTGAGATGGTTTAGAAACATTGATATTGTGCTAGCATCAAATATTGATGTTGTGATGACGTCAAATATTGAGGTTGAGATGATGTTAAATGTTATTGTGAACCCCTAAATTTAACCCACTAGAGAGAAATGAAAATGGGAATGCTCGAGGAATGAGGCATTGAGTTCGGGCAATTAATTTGAGATTGTGGAGAGGAAATTAAAATTTTATTTTTATTTTTAATAAAAATAAAATTTTGAAATACAAGAAATTATGATTAAAATGTTTTTTTTTATAAAATATTTAAAATATGCATGTCCAATTTATTTTTAATATTTTTTTAATTGAACATGTATTCGACATGTCTGACATGTATCGAAGGCATGTCAGATGTTTGTTGTGCCTGATACGTGTCAGACACTATATATCTCTTTGAATATAAATGTCGGTACATCATAGACATTATCTATTCTTTCCTTCGGTACTTTAGCTTTCGCAACTCCAACGATTAGCTTTTTGGTTTTAGTTTGCAACTATTTTTCAAGAATGTTTTCTTTTAAGACTGATCAAGACAAATTCTTTTGAATGGGAGTTTGAGGCATGTACAACATTAAAATGTTAGTACTAGATAAAAATTTCTAATTAGATGTGCTGCTTCTTGTAATTTCAAGATTTATATTTTTTAATCATGTGATTGACATGAAAAACTCCAAGAAAATAATTATCTTCTCATACAAATAAAATGTTGCTCCTTTTTAGTGAATCAATTTCCTTACTCTTCTTTATTCTTATATATTTTGTTATTGGTTTGAAAATAATTAGTTTAAATCAAATTTGATATAATCTAATATTTCAAGAAGTGAATTCCATAGTGTTTGTGCGAGCTTCTTGATGTTTAATTTCTAATCATAATTTCTAAAAGAAGGCCAACAAAATTTCATCTAAATTGATTTCCATTTCATTTATTATTTTCATCGGAAGAAACAAATAATAGTTTAAAGGTTAATAATTTGTCCTCCGAATCATGCGTGATTGTTGCATTTTTGTTTTTCACATCTCAAATGAGATATGCATAAAAAAATCATAAGACACTGAGATGTCATATGTCAAATTTGAATTTAGAGAGAAAAAATACATCACAGTCTATAGATATAGGATATAATAACTGAGCCATTTAATTACAAAGCAAAAGAAATGCAATCTTAATGAAATTTTAGTTATAATGCTAAACATGATCAAAATAATTATCTTGGATTTTAAGAGTTGTATTATTACATTTGAGGGGAGATACAATGATATGGTATTTTCATATTGGACAGATAACTTTGAAGAATTTTTTCAAAAAGACAATGTCTGATTCCAAAAGAGTTGAATTTATTAAAATAAAATTAATAGGAAATACTTCGACAAACTGTTGATGTTAAAATAAAATTTTCATAGATTGATATGAAGAATAATATTTGTCATTCACCGATTATAAAGACTGCCTACACGATCAATTTAAGAACTCTGAATAAGCTAAGTATTGTTTGGACATACAAATGTAAAAAAAGAACCGTATGAGAAAGTCAACTTACATCAGTATATATGTGAATTTACTTCTGAAAATTGTCCTTAGGAAAACTTATAAAATTAGAATTCCATATATATCGTGCTGATTTACAAATGCATAAAAAGAACCTTATCAGAAAGTCAACTTACATCAATATATTTAGGGATTTAGTAAATGAAAAATTGCCTTTAAGAAAACTTATAAAATTAGAATTTATGTATAGTTCAATTCAAAGATGCATAATTCATCATGAATAATTTTTAAACAATTTGGATTATTTTCTTTAAAAAGCAAACCATCTATATGATAGACATACATAGACAAGTCATATTTGCAGGAGAAAACCTTATGGAATACATATGTAGACATGTCATATTTGAAGGAGAATACTTAATGGAATCTAATAATATAAATTTAAATTTTCATCTTTTCGAATGTTAGAATTAGTTTTAGTGCAATCATTAAAAAACATTTAAGTACTCCATGCATGCATCATATCTCATTTTTATAATTCATAATTCATATGCATGATTTGCGTGAAAGTATTCACTAAAAACTTGCTGTTAAGAATGAAAATTGTAAGTCAACTACAGATGTGAAGATGAGTTATGAGGAATTCAAACTAAGTGATAAGGCAATGATTCTTCTAAATTCTAATACATGATAATTGCTAGGAAAACGAGACTATACAAAATCAGAATAGATTGGAATGAATGCTTGCAAGTTGAAACTCTCAAAAAAGTTTTGGCATTATTCCAATCGTTAATATATTTAATTTGAATTTATATCATCTTTATAGCATGATCCATCAACCAATACATTAGATTATTCTCTCTTTCCAGTCCTTTAAGATTCACATCTAGCACATCAGCTACATAACTTGTGAATAAACATTTATGTTAATCTTATTCCTGAAACTATCATTGGAGAACAAATTTTTTTCACAACTCATCACAGAAATAAGTACTTTGTACAGTGGAGAGCTAGATTTACATGTAATGATTCATGATATTTCTATAGCAAATCTAAAAAATATTCTTCGATCTATTTGGAAGAATAACACCTAAACCATTACTCGAAATCAAATTTTTTCAAGCTGGCTATACAAGCTGTGGAACACAACCCGTCTACCTAGCATTTTCTTCTAGGAAATCCTTCCTTTGCCCTCCTTGAATTCCACTTCTAATTGAATGGTTTTAGTATCTTCTATTCCTATCATCCACCTCCAACAATTGAGTCTTCAACATTAGTTTTGTTTTCCTCCTGTTAGCTTTGGCAACTTTAGTAGCAACTTTTTTGTTTTCATTTATGGTTATTCATTGGGAATCATTTTCTTAAGGATAGTTATGAAGAGCACTATTATGGGACTGTCATAAAAATTAGCAGGCATTTAGAATTTGAACAATTGGTACAACAACAACATCAAGCCATTATCCCACTTTGTGGGATCAACTACATGAATTCTTTTTCTCCATTGTCTTATTAAGAGTCAAATTCTCATTTAAATCTAATAAAAATAGGTCTTTTCTAATATTTTCTAATCAAATCTTTGTAGGACTACATCTGCTAATCTAATTGGGTCATTGGAAGGCCAACATTTTATGTTACTAAATTATATAAGACGACACTCTCCAATCTTATTGCCACTGGAGCTACTCCAACATTTTCACTTATATTCTCGTTTTGCATTTTGTCTTTATGAGTGAAGACGCTCATCTACCTGAGCATCCTCATCTCTGCAACATAATGATTGTTGGAGAACATAAGTAAATCATAAAGTTGAGCAAAAATTGCAAAAATAGAGTATCACCCAACAGTCAGTTTGTGACAATAGCAATGCATTCCATATGAGATCTATACAATGATAGTGAGCTCGCAATAGAAGCACAAAATCTAAAAATTTGAAAAATCCATCAAAATAATGGCCAAAGAAAAAATTGCATACCAATCTAAACTACTCAGTGATAATCCAAAAGGAAAAGTCAATGCAACCAAAGAGACTAGACATTGTTCCATGCAAGATCATGACTCAATTATCAATTAATCCTTTGACACAAGAGATAAGGGTTTAAGTTTGTGTTGCTTTCATAAGTTCGCATTCAATCCAAGGAGGGCGAGGTGTAGGTGATAGTCCATGTTGATGATGGATTGCTTGATAGGGAATAAGAGCAATTGATTAAGTGATGAGGGGCCCTAATAAGATAGATAATGCAGAAGGAACTCTGATAGAATGAAGAATAAGAGACGAGGGATATGAAGAGAAAGATGAGAGAGATGATAGAGGGAGAGAAGGATTGGGTTTAGTTAGGAGAAGATGAAAAATGGGATGAGAAATGATATAAGGAAAAACTTTCATAATATATGCTTCATTAGTGTCTTCATGCACATGTCTTTCTATCTGTAAACAAGGAAACTAAGGTAACTTTTGTCATTGCTTGAGTTCTTGGAGAGATCTTAAGAATGCTTGGAGATAGATCCCTAGGAGAGGGAATTTGGATCACCCACCAACCTTGGAGATGGCTGGGTTCGTGGTTCTTCTTCGTATCTAGTTTTCCCTTTCCCTTGGTCACCTAGCCGCCGGCCATCTAACCCACTTCCCCACCCCAAGCCACATGCCATTATAGCCGCCCCCCCTCGAATCTCCCCACTAAGACCCACCATTGCTGCTGGCCCTGTCCCCTCTTCTCCTCCATCCTTGCTTACACTGATTCCTTTCCTAATTGGGTTGATTAATTTAGGTAACTCAATAACTTGTCAAATTCAAATTTATTTGAATTTGAAAAGTTACTAAAATATCATTCCTATTTTAGGAAACTTTCCAAATCCTTGACTATTGAGTATTGAATTAAAGTTAAATTATGATGGAATATTTCATCCTAAATTTAATTCCATAATTTAAGGAAGCATTAAAAGCTTCCTTAATCTCTCTCCCTATCCCATTAAGCCGTCGGTCCCCTTTTGAATTAGATTTGGATTTGTTTCCTAAAATACACCTCCTCTCTTGAAAACAATTAAAACTTCTCCACCTCCTTGGCCGAAAATTCCTAACCCCATTATTTGATTTATTTCCAAAGGAGAAGCTCTCCTTTTGGAAATACATTAAAGCCTCCCCCATCCCCTAATACCGCCGGCCCTTTCTCCTATCCTCACTCTCTCTCTCTTTCAAATCTCCCTCCTCCACATTAAATCCTTTCCCCTTTGCATCCTAAGCAAGGTTCTCCACAAAGAACCTTTGAAGGCTTGAAAGAACGTTTTTCTTTCACGAAGAAATTCTTGAGGAAGACCAAAGAAAAGGGGACATCGTCTACAACACATCCATCCTTCGACGTAATGTATGGCCGATTGCCTATAACGAACAAGGGTTCATTAACATCCTTCATTCCACTTTCTTTGACGTCAACCCTAATATAGACAACACCGTCTAGGAGTACGTGGAGCGCATTTTAGATATCCTTATTGAAGCCGTAGAGGAGCAACTTGGTACCGTTCAGTGGAGGATCACATCCAAATCATGACGAAGGTTTCCAATCCTCCTACTCTTGTATTTTCGTAGTTTAACTTACTCTTGTGGTTTGATTTTCTTCATGAAGGTCTTGTTCTCCTATCTCTGCTAAGCTTAGTAAACGTAGGATTGAGCGTGCTTTCTATGCCTCTAATCTTATTGTTAGATTAGGAATTTTTGTTGAAAACGATCTACTTCGCATATTGTTGAATTTCTAACTTGTTTTGATAATTCAAGCGTTTGGCAAGTGGCTTAGCCTAAACGTAGGCACCCCTCTCTTATTTTTGTTTTGTCATTTTAACTATTAATAGTTTAATCTTAATGGTTTATTTCAATAAATCATGCAAGTTCTTACTACATCCATCTTAAGCATCATAGTATTGCATCATAAATAGTTGACAAAAACTTAGAAATCATATGCACTACCATCACTGAAAGGATTTTTATTTGAGTCGTCATCATAACAAATTGGTCTCTCCACTGTCTCATCCTATGGAGTCCAATGTCTCCCAATTTGTTTTTTTTTTCATTTATTTCAGTAATCTTTCTCATTCATAAATATTTTTCATTAACATAAAGATGAGATTAATACTCTAAAACTTTTAAAGGAGGAGGTGGTGGTGTGTGGGTTTCAAGTGATCCCCAGTAGTGGCTACAATGGTGGTGACTATGGAGAAAACGAAGTGCTAGATGTCAAGGCAGTCTGGAGGAAGTTGTTGCAGCTTGGGGGTGCATTAAAGCATGATTTATCCGGAGCATTAGTTTATGATTTAAGTAATTTTTAAAAAAGTTTAGGATTTAAATACATTTTAATAAAAAATAATATATATAGGGTGAGGCATAAGCCTCAGCAAGGCATGGCAGGCCTCAGCCAAGCTGAGGAGCAAGCCTCATAAAAAAAGTTTGAGGTGTAAGCCTTGATGCGTTTTTCACTAGAATTGCACTGAGGCGGGCCTCGGGGAGAGCCTCATATTGCGCAATTTTAAACAATGAACCTACCTACTCAGTCTTGGCCTAATAAGTTTATACAATAATCCCCACAACATATAAATGATTTGCATAAAAATATTCTTTATAAGCATATTTTTAATTATAATAATTACAAGCCTATAATTGAAATTAATAGAAGATGCATGAAAAAAAAGGTTGTATTACATCTAGATCCACAACATTTTTTTCTTAACAAGTAACTGTAATGAAAACATAATCATATAAAGTTATACAACGAATTGGGATTAATACATATAAATCAAAAATTTTGAAAAATATGGGTATTCTTCCATTTTATTGTGTATTTTCCACTTTATACTATGAAACATCAATATTTGCCTTGGAATCTTCTTCTTGTTTTCAAGGTTTTGGTCATTTACGAACATCTACTCTTTTTTCAGTCATAATGATCTTGCACCCAAAGTGATTATTATTAGTACAATCATGCCCACTAATGATGATGGATACCCAAATTTCAAAGTGAAGCAAAAAAAGACCAAAATGTCAAGATTTGCAAAGATCTCCATAAGAAATCCAACAATTATGCCTAGACTTATTGGAAGAGTATACACTAAACAATACTTAGTGTTGTATTTTCCCAAGCAATGGAGAAATGATATAATGACTTCTATGGTAGATCCCAGTTCAACAACACTTATGTGTTATTTTAAGGAGCTTCATTAATTAAATTTTTATAAGATCTCTTCCTAATCCTACAGTTGTGCAGCAATTCCTATAAATTTTCTTAAGGTCGTTTCAATTCCTATAACTCTCTTTAATTTGGATTCTCCTATTCTTCTATTCATGTGGCTTGTTGTTGTAGACTAGTAGTTATTGGTGGTGGTGGTGGTGATGGCGTTATTGGTGTTTTCATAAATCTTATCATCTTCCTATATAACTCAGTAGTTATGTTGTATCTCTAGTCTTTTGATCTTGCGGGATAGTTATCCTAACAACTTTCTTCTTTATTTTCACCTTACGATAGTGTTGCGTTATTATTGTTGTGTTGTTGTTTTTGCGATATTGCTAGCAAAATTCTAAAATTTTCTTCGGCTGTTTTATATGTTTAAGATAGTTTGGGGTGGCTATTGTGGTGGACTGCAATGTTATCCAAGTTATATTTACACCAACTACAAAAGGCTTATCATTAAGCATATTCTCAAGCATCTAAATAATTATGCCATGTCAGAAATTTTATTTTTCATTTAAAATCAATATTTTTTTCTAAAATTGTAATACATGATCAAATATGAAACATGGAATATTTGCAAAGAAGCATTCTCCTTGCTCAAACATTCAGCTGTGGATATCAGTCATTTCTTTACTTCTTTCCTTTCCTTTTCTCTCCATCTTTTTTCAGCTTTTTGATTGAAGTGCAATTGTTTTTTATCATATCTACTACCATAAGAATTTTTTATTATCATTTTTATTTAAATTACTTGTATGGCTTTCACTATGTTTAATTTATTCTAGTTAATTTATACTGGAAAGCCTAAATCTTTTCACTTCAATTGAATTCCAACAGCTTTTAGTTTTTTAGGATTAATAGTTTGCTTTACCGTGAAAATTGTATGCTTATTGCATCTTTTGATCGTAACTAAATGTAAATTGCATGATATATGTGCATCATAAATCCTAAGACCTAAAACATCATACACAGCTGTCTATTGACAAGATGCTAGATACTATTTTCACCGTTGCTCCACGGAACATTTTAACACTAGTCAAATAGAAGGCAAGAACAAGGAATCATTTACATTTCAAAAAAATAGAGATTTGTTTACTTTTAAAAATAAGATAAAAGAGCATATTCTCGCTAAAATAATAAATTGGAGACTATCAAATTTATACCAGGAAGTAAAAACTTCACTTTGAAGTCTCTGGATTCTTTGAGCTTCATCACGGATGCATAGTAGATTAATTTTCACCTCCCTACAAAGTCTTCCCTCAAGAAAACGCACAGGCAACCATAGCTTTGGTTCTACCTCTACAACATACGAAAGTGTGGTCCTATATTCTTGCTCTGATAAGAGCTCCCCATCTTTATGTGATTCATCATCGATCTGTTAAGGAAATGCCAAGTTGTCCTGTGTCATAAGTAGAATTTGAACGAAAACATTTTGCACAAGTATCATAACTCAAAATTATAGCAGATTGACAGTAAAAGGATTTGTCTTCTCAGTTCATAAAAACACTCATGCCTGTCCTCAACAGTTCGCTAGAGTACAATTAAGGATTAGTTTAAAACAATCAAAGAGCTGGAAAATTATTCAAGAAGGTACGTGACTGAGCAACCTTTTTGTGTTAAATGACTGAAAATACCCTATAAAAGTTATACCAAGCTATTGCATTGCAGTGAACAAAACCCCAATAAGACTTTTACACATGAAACTTTTAAATTATTTCAATAACTTCAATTTAAACCTTAATTACTAATTCTCCAAAATCAAATATTTGATGCTAAAATGTCTAAGAAGTGATTTCGAAAAAAAAATCTAGGGTAGGAAATACCAACTAATCAGAATTCTGAACAACAAGATAAAATGTAATTGATATTTAAAAGTTGTTATTGTCACAGCAAAAAAGATATCACCTCAAAAAGACAAGACTCAAAATATTGCCTGCCTCATTGTTTAGCCCTTGGCTCTTAACACTTCTATAGAATTTCAACATGTAATAATCACAAAGGCAAATCCTTAGTTTCTTAGTGATTCTTTTATATTCTAATATCCCTTTTCATCGTATCTTCTTATTTTCTTCCTCTTGGGGGGTGCTTCTAAAGCCCACTTTCAATCCATACCCAACAACATTGCGAATCTAACATGCATTGAAAGGCATGCCAACATACACATTGTGCTCTAGGTGGCGTCCATGCGCAGATTTTAAGTCATCCTCATGCAGAAATGACAATCATTTTCCTTTTGGCTCCTTACCAGCCCTAATAAAACAAAAACATCTCAAATAACCATTTCCTAACATGCCTTAAAACTTAAGGCATGTTTAGTTGGGGCTTCAAACAAGATTAAACCAACTTAAACCATTACGTCCCATCAAACAACCATTTGGTTAACCCCTTAAGAGACCTAGACTTAAAGCCGCACTTTCCTTGCTTAGGTCGCAGGATATGCTCTTGCAAGTATGGCAATTATCTTTCTTCTAACTCTTTACCAACCTAATAAAATAAAAACCATATTAAATAGTCATTTCCTAACCTACCTTAAAACTTAGCACATGTTTGTTTTAGTTTGCAAAAGTCATTGAAAATTAAAAAAGACACAAGTAAAATGTGATAGAAATTAGGGAAAATAAAATGAAATAATAATGGTATTTAGAGGAGTTTTATTCTCAAATAATTTGGTTTATCATTCCATAATGATCACATGGGCATTTCTATGCTCTATGAAGATTCTAGATACAATAAAATAATAAATGAGAATTTATGGCCATTATTGATGCAGGACTATATGCGAAATAGGAAACTTGCACAAAATATTTAAAGATCCATTTCAAATTTTCGTTATTAGCGATTAAAACAACAAAGTGAAACTAATAAATGGTCACTTCCGTTTAGGCTAAGCTACGCAAGAGACTAAACGAAATCAAAACACGTAGGGAAATTAAAGTATTGCATGAGGAGTAGTTTCCAACTTAACCTTTGCTTAACAATGAGATCCAAAAGCAAAGAAGTAACAATCCTACGAATACTAGTGGATGGCGATTAGTAGACACAATCTCTTGCTTGAACAATCTCTCAACGAAGTAAGTAGGATTTGAAAGTAAATGAGTCAAGAAAGAAAATCACCTTCTCGGAGAAACGTCGTGATTCACCACGTACCTTCCGCTAGTTTCTCTTCCCTCACGTTGAGAAGATCCATGCAATCTTAGCCGTCGTACGTAAAACCGGAATCAAACTCTGGATTGATCATACATCTCAATTCCATGAAGGAGAAAACACCTTGAGAGGGGAGAAGAGAGAGAGGGTGGACGGTGGGGAGAGAGGCCGGCGAATGGGTAAGAGGGAAAACGGCTAGGGTTAGGGAGGAGCTAGGTTAGGTGGAATAGAAATGGTTTTAATTCACAAATCTGAAATTATTCTCAGATTTGAGTAAGATTGGAGGGAAAATAAGTGGATTTTTAAATTCCAATAGCAAGTAATCAAGTCCCTTAATGAAGCATTAAAGGAGAGGGGACACTTATAACCAACCAATTAGCAGAAACTTTGGAGACAGGTTTTTTTCCAAAGTACGCTTTAGTTTTCTCTGCACGCACAAACTGATCAAAATGTATGTATAGTTTTCTTTTTTTAGGTGGGGCTACGGTTAGTCAACTCACCCAGAAGTTAGACGCGTCCCAAAGGAAGTCTGAGTTCCAACACGTAAAGTAAAGTCTTCCTTGGTAAAGTTCGCTCCACCTGAACCAGTATGCTTTAGAATACTGACCCTATATCGATTTTTCATCACAACTAAAGTGGCCTGCGAACGATCCTGCAATCCGACTTCTCCTCCCCGGCTTACTGGCTGAGTTGCGTTCGGTATGGTAGGGATGAAATGGGTTTCTGTATGTAGTTGGTGAAAACCGGCCGAAGCCCTGACGAAAGCAGGAATCATTTTATAGAAGGCAGATATCTCACCCGATAAAAAGAAGCTCGACTATGTCATTAGTCGAGGGCTTCAAGTAATATATTAGGAAAAAAAAGGGTTTCAGGTAAGAAAAGCTGTACCTTGACTATACCTATGAGACCTCTGTAAGCCGGGCAACCTCGTCCCACAGACATGAGCTAGACTAGTCAAGCTCATTCACGTACGCACGCACCTACAGCAAGGCTTTCCTTTCTTGTAGCCGGAGAAATATAGAAAAGAAATCTTTGATCTTCTTGCCGGGAAAGAGTTTGGTTACCAAGTTCGATTACCATAAGCGGAAGTTCAAACCTTAGATTTTCGATATATAGGCGCTAGGTGAGTTTCAAATCCATTTGGGTAGATAGTATGGCTTGAAAATGTCGAGCTAAGACTATCGCAAAGTAAACAATTGGTCTGTCTTAGCCTTGACTATGGAACCTTATTTCCCCGCGACTATCTTCCCCTTGAATCCCGGTTGTAGGAAAACAGAAGGAAGGGCATTCCTACTCCTATAGCTTCAGGAGGAAGGAATGAAGTAAATTCATCTCTCCCTTTTCCGTGAAAGGGAGGACGGGGAACGAAATCTAATCTCTGGGGGGAATCCTTATTTCTTTCTTTTGTTTTCGTTTCGCATTTCTCATAAGACAAATATGGAAATTTTGATTTCTTCCACTAGCACCGATTGGTAAGGTTATGTAGCAAATATGTAGATTTGTCAAATCGTTACTTCTTACTAATTACTAGAGTAAGACAGACTATATTCAGTATTTGAAGAGCGACCATACTCATCTTATTTTTGTTATTTTCGTGATCAACGAAATGCCCATATTTTGACCGAGAGTATAGACACAAATTGTCTTCGTTTATTGTACGATAAACAATGAACTTCACATAATTATCTTGATAGAGTACTTTTCGGGTTCAGATGAAACCACACCTTCTTTAGTTCAGAACAAACTTTGTTTGTGCATCCGCAATGACTAATTGGAAACAATCTATCTCATTCTCATCCAACTCAGTCACTGAAGACCTTGCCAAGCTTGTTCTCAGAGCAGGATTGGATGCTTTATGAAAGAAATTCTTAGCCCTATCCGTTTTTTGTTTTTTCTTTAGTCAGACTAGTGACTGAAACCATTTCTCGCCTGTAGCCCGGTCTGATTGAGGGTGGGACCTGAGACTGAGATCTTAGCTGCTGCTTTCTACGCACCTTCGTATGCTAATAGCAAGACAGTACCAGCGCCTTTCGCTGAGCCGGATGCTTATATGCCGACATTTTCTACATACTTTAGTACCATACTTAACTAAAGCTACCTTACTTCCGAGTCGCCAAACAGACTACTTGGCCTCGCCTAATTCTAGAAAATTCCTACTGCCAAGGTAAGGCTGAGTCGGATTCTAACCCAGTCGCCCCAGGGTTCCTGAAATAGGGTTAAGAGGATGGGGATGGATGGGAGATTCTCACAAGAGCTGATGAAATGGGAGCAACTTAATGCTTTGAATTCTAACATTAAAATTCTATACAACCCTTAGAATTCATTCATGCTTAAATTAATGAATGTCAGAATTTGATGTTTAAATCACAAATAATTGATAAAAACATATACATGGTTGGATTATTTTTAAAATTAAAATGTTAGGATCATATATTGATGGAATCACATGCTATTTTTTAAGGAGTTGTATAGATTTGCCACAAATCCATTTATTAAAGTAATTACTTTGGCTCTCTCTATTTAGACATTACTGATAGCACTCATTAAGTTAATATTTTAACTTTGTGTTGCTAACTACTTGAGAATAAAATAACAACATGAGGTTTTACTTTATGAATAAGAGATATTTAGTTGAGAGTATTTTTGGTGTAGCGCATTTGAAATATAGCAGTTTTAAGTTTTTGAGTATTTTGTCGATAATAAAGCAAATCTAAACTATTTTTTGGGGAATTTGAAACTTCCCCAATAGGACATGTTTGGTCTATTCCAAATTCACCAACTACAGGCGAATTTGAAATGCACCACATCATGAAACAATCCTACAGTTGCTACATATTCAAAAAATTTTGTGGCAACCTTCACAATCTTGGCAATATGTGGATTGTGGCACCTTCATACCAACCACTGGTAAATGCCAACTTGCCTAATAACCAAATCCTCACTGATAACTGACATCCTTGCTAACCGCCTAGAATCTCATTGCACCCCATAAGCATGAACATGTCGATGACAAACTACTAATACTATAAATTGCCCTTGCTCCATTCCTCATTGTCGGTATGCCCCCAGCCATGGTTTGCCAGACCAAGGAGTCATGCACTCATGCCCTATCAGAAAAAAATTAATTAAAAAAAATAGAATTTTTTATTTACTTTATGTTATCCAACACCAAAAAGTGATTTCCTTAATTTATTTGACAACCAACCAAACAACAAAAAACATTTTAAATGCATTGACTTCACTTAACTCTATTTAGAATACACCTGAATTCTAAATACTTACAACCAAACAACCTCTAAACAAACACTAGACTTCATTAGAATATGGTATAGAAAAAAATTTCTAATTTATTAATTTATCATATTATCTGGTAAGGATAAATTTTGAAAAGGAAAGGATAAATTTTGAAAAGGAAAATAGGGATGACTATTTTTTTTACAAAGGATTTTACTAAATTGAATATAGAAAAAAAAAGGATTTCAATAGCACATCATATTTCTCTCCCACTGATCACTTTATTATTTAATAAACTACAAGAAAATTATTTATTCACTATGCAGGACAGAAATTTTCTCCAGGCTGAAGAGAATTATTAGCCTTGCTGAAAAATTAGGGAAAATGAATAGAGATCTTATCTACTCTTTAGTGTTTTAGCTTCTAAAATTTGCTGATAAATTAGTGAAAATAAATAGAAATCTTATCTAATCTTTAGTGTTTAAGCTTCTAAAATTAGCTTTGATTGTTTCCATTAATACTACAGGCATAAAAAGGTTTTTGGTACTCAGTATTGTAAAAAGTCGACTGTGAAATAAGATGAGCATTCTTTGGATGCAAAATTTATTGTTTACAACTATTGTGAGGGATGCGTTCATTTAGGTTGGAATGAGTTAACTTTTCTCTGTATTTAGAATATGAAATTTTATTTAGGTCGCTTGACCAATTTCTTTTCATTCATGCTGAAGTTTTTGAACAATAAATTTTGAGAAACTATATCAAAATAATATTTGAGCTTCTGATATTTCCTTCCACCACTGTCAAAACTTCCACTGCAGTTGGTTTTCAAATAAAAGAAAATAAATAGCTAAACAATATACAAATGGGGAAGAAATAACAGTAAGCGTATAAGAGAAATGACTGTCACCTGTTCAATGAACCATTTGCCTTCAAATGTCTGAAAGTCGCCCTCAACCATCCTAAACTCAATATCCCTTCTCCGACCAAAGGGAATATCTTCAAGGTCTCCCTCATAGCACTCCAAAATTCCTTTAGCGTTAAATTTCAAGCCCAAAGCCAGATTCTGTTCGCCAACCTTTCCCCATTTCCAAGAATGATTAATTTCCCAATCCCAATTTTGAATTTGAATCTATAATCTTAAAACTTCAAGGAATTGCAATACGGCAAAATCTCCACCTGATAAAGCCTGGCAAATTTCTCCCTCTTCTCCAGCAACTGGCTCACAGCCAAGCTTGGAATAAAGTTGGCGAGGCCATCGTAGTCCGTCAGAACCTTCCATAGTGTGCTGAGGTCGGCATCCACTCGGACCCGGGATCGGATCCTCCGCCTGTTCATCTTGCCCTCGACCTTCAAGACCTCGATCTCGAAACCCTCATCGCCAGCCATAGCCTCCAAGAAGAAATCCCTTTGTAGCTTCTGCTCTACGACGGAGGCTTTATCATCCAGGTGCAGCGACTGTACAGGAGTGAACTCGATGGGGTCATGTGAAGGCTTGGAAAAGATGAAGAATCTACTACGGTAGAAAGAGAGGGTTTCACAATGGGATTGTTCGGAAAAGAAGATGAAGGAACTCCGGCGAATGAGAAAGTCGGATGAGTAGAAGAAAGACGGCCGGAGTGAGATTGACGACGAGGAAGCCATGGCCGGAGAGCTAAAGCGCAGCATCTGTTCCACTCTATGTCTCAATGTAATCTTAGGAACGGAGTAAGTTTTCAATGATGAAAACATTGCCTCACCACAAAATGTCAGATATTAATAATAATAACAAATTAAATTAAATATAATAAATAGAATTGTTAAATTATGAATAAGTTGATGGCTAATAAGAAATTTTAATTTTTGAAATATATAAAAGCATAATTATTTTAAATAAAAAATATAAATTAACTACATATATCACATTTCTGTTTTCTCATATTTATATTAGCTTGTTATATTTTTTTTATATTTTTTATAATATTGGATAAATTGATATCCATTTATATTGAGAGTTTAGAAATTATTAAATGAGTAGTTGTCATGAAATTCACTAAAATTTTATCAAGCAAAATTACTTGATTGCAAATTTGTATAAAGAAAATAGAAATGATTTTTTTTTTTTCACTAGCTCTACATTTCTTCCCTCCACTCTCTTACTCCATGATTTTCCCTTTTTTAATGGAGCTCCTTCTAACCATCTCTTGCATATGCCTTAGATCCTTATCCTCCAAGTTTGGTTTAAGGACCTTTGTCTAACCTTATGAAGTCATGGTCTCCTCCGTCTACAATGGAAAACTCTTATAACAAAATCTAGTATTCTTTCATCCACGAACTCCTCCTTTTTAGCACCTTAAATGTTGAATATGACTCATTAGATAAATTTCAAACCAAAACTCCAACACTACTTATTATTCTAAGAATTCTTGCTCTTTATGTATTGCAGTGTGGTGCCTCTCTCTAGCAACCTTCATCAGCTTCTCGTTGCCTTGTGCAAGATCTTAGTTAGAAATGAATCATGATAGCTCACAGCCCCTTTTCAAAAGACTTTCAAGGCAGCTATGTCCAAAGCTACGAGGAAGCTAAGGTATTCTCTTTAATTGAGCTCTTCGTTAAATCTAAAGAATGGAAAGTCTATTTGATTAGGTACGCCAACCTGAGAGACTATTCTATATTGCTCTTAGAAAATGTTAAAAGAGACTAGGACCTAAACAGTATTTTTCAAATGCTCACTTTAAATGTTGGATTATTTCTCTTTAGCCTCTCTTATTAGGAGGACTGCGACATCAATTTGACGTGAGGGCCATGATTTTTCTTCAACAAGCCATTCACAATACAAAAATTGCCTCCTAAATATAATTGACTTTAGTGACTTTATCACCCTAAATGAAAATAAATTTTTTTGTTTCTATCGGCGTATAAGTAAAACCGAAGTTAGAGAAGTTTTAAAGAAAATGAAGTGTGGAAAAGTTGTTGGACCTGATGATATTCCAATAGAGATGTGGAAATTCTTAGGAGATAAAAAATTTTCTTGGCTTACTAAACTTTTTAATACTATTTTGAAGACTAAAAAGATGTCAGATCAGTGGAGAATGAGTGTGTTAATACCTATTTTTAAGAATAAAGGTGATGCATAGGAGTGTGCAAATTATTGAGGAATTAAGTTAATGTGTCATACTTTAAAACTATGGGAGCGAGTTATGGAGCATAGGTTGAGGCGTGATACTAATGTTTCTCAAAATCAATTTGGATTCATGCCGGGTAGGTCTACTATGGAAGCCGTACATTAATTGAGAGATTTGATGGAGAAATATAGAGAGAATAAGGAGGATCTACATATGATATTTATTGATTTAGAGAAAGCATATGATAAAGTTCCAAGATAAGTGCTATGGAGAGTTCTTGAAAAGAAAGGAGTTAATAATGCTTATATTCAAATCATTAAAGATATGTATGCATGAGCTATTAATTGTGTTCAAACACAAGGTGGTTTGACCAAGTATTTCCCTATTTCAGTTGGGTTACCTCAAGGATCAGCCTCAAGCCCATCTTTTTGCTTTAGTCATGGATGTTCTCACTAGACATTTGCAAGAGGATGTACCTTGGTGTATGCTTTTTGCTGATGATATTCTTCTTGTTGATAAGACTAGAGAGGGAGTTGAAGGTAAACTCGAATTATGGACGAAGGCGAGGCAGGTCCGCGGTTCACGCGGGCAGGCGGTTCATGCGGGCAGGCGGGTCAGGCGTTGGGGCAGCTTTCACACGGGTGGGGTGTGTCCACGGGACCACGGGAGGGCTGGGGCCTGGAGTGGAGCACAAATGTGTGGGGAGCAGTGGCCGATCAAATTGATTTTTTTTTGTCATTCCGACAGCATAAAAATTTCGACCGAAATATTTTCCAGCAGAAATTTCGTCGGAAATCCGCCCGAAATGTTTCCGGCGAATTCATTTTCGTCGGAAGTCCTTTTACGACGCGGGTGAAATTTTTTTTTGTCATTCCGACAGCATAAAAATTTCGACCGAAATATTTTCCAGCAGAAATTTCGTCGGAAATCCGCCCGAAATGTTTCCGGCGAATTCATTTTCGTCGGAAGTCCTTTTACGACGCGGGTGAAACCGGCGGAAATATTTCCGCCGGAAATGCAATTTTCTGAGGATTTTGACCATTTTCCGACGAAAATGGCCACCGGAAAATGACGTTTTTCCTGTAGTGAATTCAGTAGATTTTATGTATAAGTCTCTAACAGTCCCCCTTACTAGAAAAGCCACAATTAGCCTTAATAGTTTAATTCCATCTCTACAAATCATCTAGTATTAAAAGCCCAAAGTTTGTCTAAGATGTAACACTTTAGGCCCTTCCTCCAACTCAAAGTTGTCTTGATGTTCGTCCAAATAATAGCTTACTGGAATATTAGAAGATTTAATGGGCTAAACAATTTTTTTTTTACCATAAAAATCTAATTTCTACTCATAATATTGACCTTTTATGCATCCTTGAGAATAAAAGAAATCTCTCTCTCTCTCTCTCTTTAATTGCACTTAATTTTTTATTTCTATCTCCATTTTTTCCCTCTTCAAATGGCTGTAATATCTTCCACTTAGCTAGCCTACATTGCATATGTATAAAATTGAATAGCTCTAGGCCAACTTCAACCCTTTGTTGTATGAACAAAGCTTATTCATGGCATCATCAATAGTGGATCTTCCAATTTTCATCTCAAAATCATATATTGCATCGATTCTAATGTTGACAGGTCCATCTTATTATTGTCCTTAACTAACATTGCTCAGTTACATTCACTTGGATTTGTAAGGGTGACTTCAGCTGCTATAGATTTCAACATGAGAAATTTGGTGGAAATCTCACCTAATCTAACAAACTTGTGGAGTATAATGAAATATTCTATGATGTTGGTTTGGTGGATCCCTCTTCAATCATTTTTTGGGGTCTAATCAAAGGCTAGACATCCCCATTAGCACTCTACTTGATAGATTTTAGACAATCATGACTATTTTAGGCTTCATTTAGGATGTTTTTCTTAATAATTTTTAAAGTAACTTTCTAATACAGTAATTTCTAGTTCAAAATTTTTTGTACTAGAAAGCTGCTTTAGATAATAGTAAAAAAGCCATCTCAAACGAAACCTTAATATCTAGCAATAATCATTTTTGGAATAAACATGCAGACCTCTCTGTTTTTTTCTCTTTTTTTTCTTTGCTCTTTCTTTAGAATGAAAATTTATAGTGTCCTCCCACCTAACGTATAGATGCGTCCTTCCACCGCAAAAAACTTGGTTTTTGCTCCGTATTGCTAGGTATTATTTAGTAATAACGAGGAATATCATCATGTGAAGACCAATACCGAGTTATACCGAGCTATACCGAGCAATACAAAAACATACCGAGTTTTTTCTAGGAAAAACTAGGTATTTTTTTGTATTGCTCGGTATAGTTCGGTATAGCTCGGTATAACTCGGTATTGGTCTTCACATGATGATATTCCTCGTTATTGTTTGGTATTGCTCGGTATTTGTTAAGTATTTCTTATTTTGTAGCGCGATTTTAGTTCTGGGAGGACGCATTTCTACGTCAGGTGGGAGGACGCAATAATTTTTTAGAATGAATGGTCTCAAAATAGTGGATGTAAAGCAAATATAAATTCTTTTCTTGTCCAAGCTTGTCATCTTTGCCGTTTAATAACAAAAAGTTGGGGCACATTTTCTTCTCCTACTCATTTTCTAGTACTATGCTAAAAGCCTAGTTGCTATGAACTTCCACTTTTCTTCTCAATCCATTAATTCTTCAACTATTCAAAGAAATTATTGATATGAGTTAAAGCTTCATTTGGGACTATTTTTTTTACTGCTTCTTAAAGCAACTTTTTAATACATAATTTAAAACTTTTGTACTAAAAAGTCGCTTTAAGAAGCAGTAAAAAAACCGTCCCAAATAAAACCTAAATTTCAATAACTCTTAAAAACTTTTACTGCCTCTCTATAATCAAAACTTAGGCTTTCTTCTTTATTTGGCTGGTTGTTATTAACTAAGATTTTGTTTGGGACAACTTTTTTATTATTTTTAAAGCAATTTTTAGTACACAAATTTATATATCAAAAAATTTATATTATAAAACTACTTTAAAAATCATTAAAAAAGTTGTACCAAATGAAACCTAAGCTGATCAAGATGGGGGGATTATAAAAATATGCTAAGAGTCAAAGGCTTTAAATTTCTTTCATACAATTTCAGAATTGTCCTCAAAGTAAAAAATTCAACACGCAAGCGTAAATTTTATGGAGTTGTATAAAAAATTTTTGATAGTTTTTTATAATTTTTTTTTTTGTTTACTTACTCTTAGTGATATGAACCTAACATATCTAATTATTATAAAATCGTTAAAAATTGTAAATTTAACTAAAAATATCGAAAGAATACAAAAAGAGAATATCTATCATTAAAAAAAATAAAAAAAAAATGATGCTAGGTCAATTTATTTAACATTATTCCTGGTAGAATATATATCAATTAAAGTAATTTTTTAGTAAAAAAAATTTTTAAAAAAAAATTCTACTAAAAAATTATTTTAAAAAAGTAATAAGAAAATAACTGTTCCATGCATAAACGATCGAGAGAGAGAGAGATGCAAATTTATTTTATTTATGGACTGTGGATTACACAATTTTAATTTTAATTTTGTGATTGTTTATACTAATTAATTAAAACTTTGT